ATCTGCCTCATTGCACAGCCTCATCAAACCACTTTTTGAAAGCTCCCCTGGAAAGCAAGGCCATAAGCTGGCATTCCAGGCCTGGTACCTGATTCTTTCTCTGTTGTCCCCCACACCCCCTACCAGGGGAGTCCTTGGTGTTTCATACAGAGAGGCTGATTTTTAAAATCTTTCTAAATGTCCCACCTCCTGTAGTTCCTGAGATCCAGGACTGAGCTCTGGCTCATCATGCCAAGCAGGGCACTTTTGCTAGGGCACGGATAGGACCTTCTGCTGGGCTGATGTTGTTTGTCAGATGCCAGTCTAGGTAGGATAAGAGCACATTCTTCTTCATCAGAGCTGACATCTGGGGCCCTCTAGTGGTAGATAGGCGAAATTACAGAGGACCACAGAGCTAGAGGTTGCTAAGATACTGAGACAAGTTTCACAATGAAACCGGCATCCTAAATGTTTGTTTCTTCTCTCCTTACATCCATCACTGTATTCGTTCAACAAAATGTTTGTAGCCTAACTGTAAGTAAGGCACTGCATAAAAATAGAATTGTACAAACCAGAGCCATAGGGGAAAAGCATTTATTAATCAGCAACTATGTACCAGGCACTGTGCTAAGCACTTTATAAATATCTCATTTGAGCTTCACAACAACCCTGCGAGGTAGGTGCTTTATTATCTCCCTTTTACAGTTGACAAAACTGAGGTACAGAGGTTAAATGACTTGCCCAGGATCACACAGCTAGTAAATGTCTGAGGTTGGATTTAAATTCAGGTTTTCCTTGACTTGAGGTCACTCTACCCATGACCCTATGAGGTCACAGATTTGGAGCTGGAAAGGATGTTAAAGGTCATGAAGTCCAATCCCTTCATGATAGAAATCATGGAAGGCACTGTGCCCAAATGGATAGAGCCTTGGGGTTAGCAGCAGGAAGAGCTAGATTCATACCCTTCCTTAGACTCTGATTAGCTCGGGGACTCTGAATAAATCATTTACCTCAGTTTTCTCATCTGTAAAAATGAAGGTAATAATAATAATACCTACCACACAGGATTGTTGTGAGGATAAAATAAGATATTTGTAAGGTACTTTGCAAACATTAAAGTGCTGTATAAATGTAAGTTACCATTATTATTATGTCATAGATCTAAAGTTGGAAGGAATCTTAGACTCCAACTATTTCTACTCCCTCATTTTAAGAAACTGAGGTCCAGAGGAGATGACGGTGACATGCCCAAGGTCACACAGGTAGCGATTGGAAGAGCTGCGATTCAGACCCAGATCATAGAATCATAGGTTTCTAATCAGGAAATAGGAAACACAAGACGGCGTTTGAGGTCCACACTTTTCTATCAACTGTATGATTGCAAAGATGTGGGTGCTATTGAGATAGGGATAAGCTTGTGATTTCATTGGTACAGAGGAAATTCCCTCTGCCAGTACATGTTGGCACTTTCTCTGCAGTTTGCTGTAGAGTTGCCTAGAGCCCCAAGAAGTTAAGTGACTTGTCCACGATCATGAAGTCAGTATGGGTCAGGGTCTGGACTTGAACGCAGATATTTCTGGCTCTGAGATCAGCTCTTTGCCGCATATCCACTCACAATCGTTTTTTAATGCAATTGGGGTTAAGTAATTTGCCCAGGGTCACACAGTTAGTAAGTGTCAAGTGTTTAGTCTGAGGCCAGATATGAACGCAGGTCCTCCTGGCTTCAGGGCCAGTGCTCTATCCACTGCGCTACCTAGCTGCCTGTCTCACGATCATTTTAAAAGCCTTATTTAAAATTCCTTATTATATTTTCATTAAGGATGCCCCTGATACATGTGCATGTCATTCTCATACAGATTTTATAACTATGAGAAAGGAAGCATATAGTAACTGACGTTATTTCAGTTGTCCTTTCTAGACAATGATATCATAGAAGGGCAAAGATTCTGAAGAAGTAAGATTACAGACCACACCAGAGGCAAAGAAGAGTTATTTGGTGAGGGGTAATAAAGTTACATATGTTACCAATGAAAAAGTACACCAAGGGGTTCGCTGGAGCCAACTTGAACTGCCTGGACAGAGCCCATCATTAAATTTTCAGTGTGAGCATTTACACCCCAGAAACTGGCAAACACAACAAATCAGGGCTTGATTTATTGTTTTGTTAATTGTCTAGATTTCAGAAGTGATATAGAAAATGTTAATGATGCAGATTAAATTTAAAGATCTGGGTTTTTTTTTTCCCAAGCTGGTTGTTAAATATTTACCTGACAGGCAGCTTAAGAAAAGAGGTATTAAACATAAGTGGGAACCAGATTAAAATGTTAGTGGGGCATATTTAACAAAATAAAGAGAAATACAAAACATAGATAACATTGTATTCTTGTAGCCACATATTGACTTAGAAGACCACAGATTAATATTATAGATGTTGTATTGTATTTTTATTTATTTTGTGAAACGTTCCCCAATTACATTTTAATCTGGTTGGGCCAGCCTGTGGGAGTTTTGCAGGCAGCACTCTGGCCTTGAGTGTGAAACCTATGATCCAGCGAAAGGATATACCATGAAGGAACCAGAGGAGCACATGGACAGGACAATGGCAGGATGAGAAGGAAGGCCTGGTTTGGGAGCCACACGGATGGCATTACAGACCCATCAAAGGAGCGAAGACTTTCCCATTCTTTTGGTCTTTTCCATTCCCTGACATATCTTAGCAGTTATACCTTTTATGTTTTAGTATGTTTTAGTAATGGCTGTGTCACCTCTGAGGGTCCTTGGCCTGAGTGTCATCTCAATTACCTTCACACTGGGGACTGAGGCATCAGAGACCTAATGTGGTGACTCTACTGTCGCTAATTGAAATAAATCACTATGAAAATGCTGTATTATGGTTGTCAGTGTTTGGATCATGAGTCATGACATAGACATCAATATCTATTATAAGCAGTATTAATTGAGTTTGTCTATTTTTATACCTAATTTTCCCTCTCCCTCCCTCCCTCTTTCCTCCTTTCCTTTCCTTTCCTTTCCTTCCTTCCTTCCTTCCTTCCTTCCTTCCTTCCTTCCTTCCTTC